TTCCCCCTACTTTTTGTTGACTATTTTTGAATATTCCCCCTGTAGACGCACCGGCCTGGCTTAGAAGGAGTACGACCAGATCCACTGCACCCATCCAAGCCGAGCAGGAGCCGAGGGAAGCGACCTCTTGGGCCCGGACGCGACGTGGCGCGAGGACCCGAGGGCCAACGCGGACAGCCTGGAGGCGACTCGTGAATGCGACGCCCCTGGGGCACAAGAGCAACGGAATTTTCTGGCCGCCTCGGCGGTGGATAAACCTCCCTTTAATGGAAAAGGGCCCGGGACCGAAACCGACGCACCTGGACCCGCAAAAATGACGTCCGCGACGCCCTCTCGCAAACCGAAAACAGCCAATTCGCTTATCGACGTGTCAGGGGAGGAGGTCTATCAACCTCCGAGTCCAGGGCTCGGGGGTCTTCGACCCTCTCAAGCTCGCTGGCGAGCACCTGAGGCCCCGCGCCTTGGCGCGCTGAGGCGCACGCCCTGAGAAGAGCGAACCGTGGAGCAGCTCCTGCTGGAGGCGCATCGCGACGGCGGGCCAAAACTGGTCCAGGAAGCCTGGGAAGCCCTTGACCGCATCGGGTCAACGGCTCGCAACCTCGGGGGAAAACCAGACGCAGTGAACACGCCCGTCTGATGGGATGCGGAGCGCCAGGCAAGTGAAGGCAGCATCGCGATCCTCGGGCAGCCCTATGCCTACCGGGACTATCAGGACAAGTTGACGTTCGACGCTGGGCTGGCGGTCCGGCTCGAGATGGGAGACGACCGTGTGGAGGAGCGCCAGCGCCTGGTGCTGCACATGGCCGCTGGCCATCTTGTGGGAGCAGCGCGCCCCGACTTATCAGGAGGCGCAGGAGCTCGCGTTGGAGCTGCGAAGAGGGCTCAGACATCAGGCGTCGGACGCCGCCGCCAGCCTGGCAGACGTCTCTCCTCGGGTCTCGCCTCGGGAGTCCGAGGTGCGCGTGCGCATGCGCGACGCCCTACGCCAGGACCATGACAAGGACTTCGGGTGCGTTGCGGCCTCCCCGTTGGCGCAGTTGTCTGACGCAGTCCTGCGAGCGTGGCGCGCTGATCACTGGGGGCATCTCGAGATCGACGCGAGGCCCACCAAGGAAAGGCACGTGATCATCCACCGCGGGCACGTGAGCGCCCTCCACCCTCCCCCCGGCGGCCCCGACGGGCGCCAGGCGCCGGAGCTGGTTCGTGAGTGGGCGCTGACCGAGCGAGCGGTCAAGGAGGCGGCCGCGACGGGCTGGGAGGAGCACCTCGCCTCCGAGGGCGAGGGCCATCCAGCAGTCTCCAGCAAGCCGCCCCCCTGCCACCGCTGCAAGGCCCAAGAGGAGCGGCAACGTCGACCAGTGCGCGCGGGCGGCGGTGAGGAGAGCGAGGAGATCATCGGCTCGGCACCCGTGGACCAGGACCTCGAGCTGGACCAACCACTCAAGTGGCGACCTGTTTTCGCCTGGGGCCTCCGGCCTCCGCACCCGGGAGGTGCACAGCGGGACCGGCCGTTGGGCGCAGGCCATGCAGGATGCCGGCATCAAGACGGCCGACACTGTGGAGTCCTTCGGACGGCCGCTGGAGCGAGCTGAGCCGCGACCTCACTGCGACATCCGGAACCCCCCGGATCGCCGTCGGCTTCCGCTCGAGCTGGGTGCGCCTGCTGGACCGGATGAAGCCAGCGTGATCCAGTTCGCGCCGCCCTGCGTGACTCACTCCGCCTGGCAGCTCCGCAACGGGGGCACGAGGACCTTTGAGAACCCGGAGGGGGACGGCGCCCACGCGGACGAGGTCGAGGGCAACTTATTCGGTGCGTTCGCCTGCGAGGGAGCCCGCCGAGCCTTCGACGTGGGCATGGAGTTCCTGATCGATTCGTCAGCCAGAGACGGACGGCACCCAAAGCTGTGGGGCCAGGAGTGCGCCAAGCGCCTCATCAAGCGCGCCGGGGCGAAGATCCTCACCACCGACATGTGCGAGTGGGGTCTCGCTCCTCCCGATCGGCCGCAGCGTCGATATCGGAAGCGCACTTGGTGGCTGGCGTCGCGAGGGCCGCACCCGCGCGCCCTCATTATGGCGCGCTGGTGTTCGGGGGCACACGTCCACGAGCCCCTCGAAGGAGCCCTGCCGCACGACGCGACCACGGAACAAGCGAAAGCGTGCAACCTCGATGAGGCGAGTCGGCTACACGCAAGAGTGACCCTGGGTAAGAGCGACCTTTGGTGCGCGACTTTGGGGGGGCCGCGGGGGGGCCAAACCTGGGCGCGCAAGCAGCTGCTTCTGCTTCGTTTTCAGCCATATGGGAACCCATCTGTGCCCGCATCAAAGGTCACTCCGGCGAAAGGTCACTCTTACTTGGGCGCCCGACTTATCCGGGGTAACTCGGGCCCGGGGTAACTCGGGTTTGGATTCCCGAAAAAGGAACCCGAGTTAGCCCTGGCCCGAGTTACCCCTGATGATTTTGGTGCTCTGGACGCCCGAATTATCCGGGGCAGCTCGGGCGCGGGATAAATCGGGTTCGGAATCCCGAAAAACGAACCCGAGTTACCCCTGATGATTCGGGGCTCTGACTTACGCCTAGTCGAGGGAAGCGCCTGAGTGACTCAGATGCCAGCCGCCCGGTTCGCCTGAGCACCTGAAGTTGGGTGCCGGCGTGACGGTCCGCGGGCTCCGCACTGACGGCGGACTGGTCGGACTCGAGGCGCGAGATGATCCGCGCGAGCTCATGACCAGCCTCGCACTCATCCCTATCCCTCAGATGGGCGAGCAAAAAGCGAGGACAATCTTATGGATGTGCCATCCGCTTCCGGCTTTCGGCCGGTTGCGACGGAAGGAGGAGGCCAAGTAGTAGTGCTTCTTATTGAGGCACTTGAGCAGGTCGTGTGCCTCCGATTCGGTACCATGAGTCCCTTGCACCCCAACTGCTGCCCCATCAAATAATTGACCGAGGTACTTCATCTGATTGATGCGTAGTGTCGCCTCGTTCCGACCGGGGTGCCAGGAATAGCACACGTGCATTCCAGGTGGCCAGTCTGAACGGAAGAGCTGCCCTTCTCGGCCTCGTCGATCGCACGCCAAGGATGTCGGCAAGGTGTTAAACCGACCACTCCGCGGGCATCGCCGAGGCGCAGGCGAGCGCGTCCTCGACCAGCGGGGCGAGCTTGTCCTTGGAGATCTGGGGTTTGCGCAGGTTGTCGGCACTGCACTCGACTCGACGGTGGGCTTGTCGCCGCTGTCCGTGGGGGTGATCCGCAGGATGGGGGGCCAGTTCGAGCTGAGCACGCCCTTGCCCCTGTCGCTGAAGAAAGGTGTCGGGGTGGGCTTCCTCCACCACTCTGCAAACCGCGCGCAGGGCCAGCTCTCTCTTGATGGTGAACGGGTTCTTGTCGCTGCTGACGAACAGGTTGGTGTGCTCGCCGCCCATGTCCCTGCAGGCGAAGTTCCCCCAGCGCCCGTCGGAGCGCCTGAGGGCCCCCAGGCATTGTCCGACATTCCTGTTCGCGTAGTTGGCGGCGCCCTTGAAGCGGATGACGAAGCGCTTGCCTGCAGGAGCCCCCTCCCACTTATCATCATCATCCGGAGCCATGTTGTAGCTCTGCAAGAACGGGTTGAGGATGGCTTGCTCCTTGTCCTTGGCGACGAGCGCCTTCGAGGTGATGACCAGCACCGCAGGATCGATGGGCCTCTTGAAGTTCGGGTTCGCCATGCGCCGCTCCTGCGGGTCAGCGTCCCTGAGGTGGCTGGAGTCGGCGCTGAGGCGATCAATTGTGGAGCGCAGCGCGACCAGGTAGCGGGCCTGCGTGCGCTGCGTCGCCTCCACGGTGCCGAGGCGCTGCTCCATGTGCCTGCCGAAGCCTTCGTAGGAGGTAACGACCTGCGTGGACAATTGAGCGACCGTCGCCTGCAGCGATGAGACGGTCTGAAAGATGTCGTTGCGAGTCTGATCGACATACGAGCGCCATGAAAGCCAGCTTTGTCACCAGCAGGAGCGGCAGCAGCAGGAGGACGTCTGGCGGCCGCTGCCTGAGCCCACGGGTCGCTTGGACGTGGTGCTGCCGCAGGGCGCCCCTCCGTCGGGAAGGTGGCCGCCGCGTCGGTGCCCTCCAGCAGCGACTGGGCCATCTGCATGGGCCCGTGGTTGGCAGCACGAGGGGCTCGCCCTTCCGGACCTCCGCGGGTGCGGCGGGGCCCTTGACGGCGGGCAGGGCGGCCTCCATCGCTCCTGGACTGGGATCGGTGGTCGCTCTCGTCGCCAGAGCCACCAGCGCCGTCAGAGCGAGGGCCACGCGCCGCCGTTGCAGCAGGGTGGACCTCGTCTTGGCCCGAATGAGTGGCTTGCGCCAGTGCAGAGACAAGTTGTGCTCCCCCAGGAGCTCACTGAGCGGGGCGCGTGGGCGAGGCCTCGATGCCTCCCTACCCACAGCCCACAAAAGTTTTAGCCCCGTGTAAGCCAGCTCCAGAAATGGTTCATTAGAGCCAAGATGGCTACGGACCTCCTCCTCCTCTTCCTCCTCCTCCTCCTCTTCTTCCTCCTCCTCCTCCTCTTCCTCCTTCTCCTCCTCCTCCTCCCTCTACATACAATCGGAATATGAGATGGGACCGAACGGTCTTACACCGTCCCTAATCGAATGGCAGAAGCGCGATCCCGCGACCGGGACCTTGCCGCTTTGTTGGCTGTGGAACCCTCATCTCTGTAGGACAGGTTTCTGGCACGGTCAGTGTGTCTGCAACTCCGAAGCAAGGGCTCCCAGCATCGCGCTTCGCGCTGCGCAAAGCGCGATGTGCGAATAACTTCGCGTTCCCGCGCCGCCTCCCAGGGAAGAAGAGGAAGAAGAGGAGGAATCGGAGCCGAAGCGCGAAGCGCGAATAACTTCCCGCCCTCGATGGCGCCTTGGAAGCTTCATTCTGGCACGGCACTGGTCCCCCCTGAGCCGCTCTCAACAGCCGCCAGCGCGCCCCGCCCCTCCGCCCCATGGACCCCGCCCCGCGCGGTGCGCCACTGCCTCGGAGGGCCGCGGCGTACGCCGGGGCGCCCATGGCGCGCCACTCGCCGAGGATGACCTCTCGCTCCTGGTCGGCTGCCCGTCTGTCTGCGGCATGCACGGCAACGCTGGGGCTGCGAACAAATGGCCCAGAAGATACCCGTTCGACGGCCCTTGAAATCGGTGTGCACTGAAACACGCAGGAGACGCCCAACCAACAACAAATGTATGCACCTTCGGGGGCCTCGTCTGTCGCTGTCCTGTCGCGATCCGCGTTGGATACGTACTGAATCCACGTCGAACGCGTCGAGCGTCGAATCCGTGTCGACTTCGTCTCGGGACAACGTCTAAAACCACGTCGAATTCACGTCGACTCCGCGTCGAGCCCACGTCAGAGTGCAAGAAAAGACCACCACCAGCAGGACTGGAAAGGTCACCCAAAGATGCAACATAAAACGAGTGCTGTCCAAAGCCAGCATCGGCCGCTGCTGGGTAACAGCCTCTCTTTGGCGGCGCGCCCGGGGGGGAAATGAGAGGGGTCGGGCCTTCCCAGAAGGCTCGGAGATCCCCTGGCCTTCTGAGAAGTTTTCGGAACCTTCCCCAAGAACGCGGAAAACCTATCAGAGCGCGCGAGGGCTTCTGAGATGCCCCGCCGCCTTCTGAGAGGGCCTTCTCCTTCTCACTTTTTCCCCTCGCTCGCCGCCGACTCTCTGTCTCAGGTGGACAACGTCCGAGGCGACATCGGCCACGAGTCCTGCTCTGAACGGGCGGGTACTGCTGAGGGCTTCGTCCTCGCACTTTCCCAAGGGCGCCCAGCTTCGAGCTCTCGCGCTGCGCACAGCGTGAAGCGCGAATACCCTCGCGATCTCGCGCCGCCCCCAGGAGAGCCGAGGCGGATGAGGAAGATTCGGACACGAACCGCGAAACGCGAATAACTTCGCGCCCTCGAGGGCGCCCCTGTTCCTGTACCCATGTTCATCCTCCCGATGATCGCCTTTGCGCGTATACAGTGTTCCAAGTGGCCGTGCTTAGGAATACGGTCGGTAAGTCAGCCATCGCAACCTCAGCTGTTGGCGGCCTTGACGAAAAACGAGAGGCGCTGCATGGCAGGGATCACTGCACAGTGCAAGCAGCTCCTCAGAATCGACTACAGCACGCTCGTGAGTTGAGCTGCTGGTACCTTGACGAGGTCCGCAAGGTGCTGCAGCAAGTAGAGATCCCAGGCCGGACCATGCTGCCACTACATGCGCCACCCCCGCGCCCTTCCACATGCACGCGCAACACACGTGCGGCCTGGAGAGGCTTGACCTGGGAGGGATCATAGTGCAAGGCTCACCGTAGCAAACAGGGCCACCGTGCGCCTCTCGAACAATCGGATTCTACCCATCTTGGGCGCCAGGGCGCAGCGCGGAAGGAGGGCCGGGCCATGATGCCCAAGAAGAAACGAAGGGCGTCGAAGGCGTATTCGGGTTGTGGATCCCACGACGCTGGATAGCCTAACAGTCCGATCATCGAATTAAACATGTGTTTGAAATGTCGGAACGTGTCCTGGAAATGTTTGAAGCATGCTTGTTACACTTTAAAACCGTTGTAACACATGCTCTAGGCATCTGGGAATTATTTGGCAACGTGCTTCCTCTCCATCGATCGTCATCCACAGTCTTGGGGCCGTCGCGGTACATTTCGCCAACGCGCCACGGCCTCTCCCGTGGAAGCCGCGGAGCTAGCTGGGATCCGAAAGGTAGTCAAACAACAAATAATCATAATGTCCATATAACCAGATAATCAAATAATCAAATAGTCATAACAATCAGAATAACCATACGAATCATAATCACATAACACTAGGGATCCGAAAGGTAGTCAAATAATCACAGATCCGCCGAACACATTTAGGAGCCGAGCGGGAGTCAAGAAACTGATGAATGTCTCACGGGCGGATTGCTTCAAACCGATAGAATCGCCTCTCTCGGCGCACTCCAGTGGCCTCTTGGAGAAGAAACGGCACATGGGCAGATGGAACACGAATATGCAGTTGGAGGCAACTACCTACGACGAGTCACTGCCGCCGCCGGCCTCTGAGAGGAACTCACGTGGCCGCACTTGCGACCGGTAACTACTACCAGTCTGACTAAACTACGGCTGAGTGAAGGGCCCTCTAAGACATCATTGTCCGTCTTGGAGCTGTCTTGTGACTCTGCGAAGGATCGTCTTGGTAAAGTTTTGGGGGAAGCCGGTGGCTATCTGGGCCCGTCTTGCGGCTCTGGTGGGCTGTGTTGATTCATTTTGGACCATCAGGGGCCTCACGAAGCCATCTTCGGCCCTATCGGCGCCCTCTTGGACCGTCCTACTCCTCTCGGGACGTTTGAAACTCCTTTGGGGGAAAGCTTAGGACCAGCTGGGGACCCTCGCGAGGCCCTTTTGAACCATCTAGGGGACATGTGCGGGGCTCTGTGGGCTGTCTTAGACGCTCCTTAGACAGGACGGCAGCGATACTAAATCCCTCCTGGCACACACGAGAAACAAAGGACTCGGACATGTCGGCACTACCCTGGACCGCACTTGGCGGGCCTCCGGGGGGAAGTCCTACAATCCTGCATGGACCGCCTCTCATGGTACGGGGGACGCTACGTACGCGGGTCTGTCAGGCCGCCAGGCGCGAGACGGAGGAGGGGCGGAGACTGCCTAGGTGCCCTCGTAAGTACATGCCGTCGAGTCGCCGTCCTCCCCCGAATCTTGCCACCGCCCATTCTTGCGGTGGCGTAGGATGCCATCTTGGGAAGGCAATCCTACCGCACTCGAGCCATCTTGGGGCCATCTTGGGGCCATCTTGAGCCGTCTCTTGGGAGCCGTCTTTGGGAAGGCCCAGATTCCTGCCATTCCTGGCCCAGATTCCTGAGCCGTCTTGGGGCCATCTTGGGGCCGCCTCTTGGGGAAGGCAGTCCGGCCGCACTCGAGGCGGCTTGGGGTCCTACGCGAGGGGCCCCAAACGCCTGTAGGCCAAGCCGGGCACCGGCCGGGCCCCCCCCCCTCCATGCGGGGCCCCCTCCTGCTTTCTGCACTTACGTGGGCTCCCGTTCCCGGAGATCCGGGCGTGGAAGCCTCTTCCATATCACTCGTTTGCGCCAGGCTTCGTGGGCCCCTGGGCCATCACTGGTCGATCCTGCTCGAAAGATGCCGCAGAAAGCTGGGGCATGGGGCTCGGAACGTGGTTTTTCGCGACGTTAGCTTTGCTTCGGAACGTCGGATCTCGCGGACCTTCGGACACGTCCTTGGCTCAGCGAGAGCCAGCGATCACCACATTCCTGTCAAAAGTCGGCTTGGACCGACAGAGCATGAACACACGGACAGGAGTGGGTCACATGTCGACAGATGTGAGCCTATCTGCACCTTCCACTACAGCACGATCGACCGACTGGCACAGCTGACAGACACGACTTCAAATCCAGAATCGCCAGGGTCCAGCAGCAACTGCGCCCGACCATGGCGTACCCACGACTGCCAATTCGATTCCCCTTCCCCCGCCATCGGCATAACGTTGTATTGCAACTGCTGGCTTGTGAAATCGTGAGAACACAAGGATGCAGCATCCCTGTCAGCTCCAAGCGTTTACTGATCCATTCCTCCTGGGCCGCTCTGGCAGACTTGGACCACATCGGATAACCTCAGGAAGGCATTAAGAACCCCCCCCCCCCCCCTTTCCGGTGGATTATAACGCCCCCGCACCCTGGAGCGTTATGGCCGCACCGGAAGACCTGGCTGAGGGGACTCGGGGCCTAGCTAAGGCCTGCCAAGCGCAGATTTGCTCCTGCCAAGCAGTTTAGCAGGGCCAAGCAGGGCTTAGCAAGGCTTAGCAGGGCATAGCAGGGCTTAGCAGGGCTTAGCAGGGCTTTGCAAGGCTTTGCAGGGCTTTGTAGGGCCAAGCATAGCTTAGCAGGGCGTAGCAGGGCTTAGCAGGGCTTAGTAGGGCTTACCAGGGCTTAGCAAGGCTTAGCAGGGCTTAGCAGGGCCTAGCAGGGCTTAGCAGGGCCTAGCAGGGCCAAGCAGGGCTTAGCGGGGCTTAGCAAAGCTTAGCAGAGCCTTAGCAGGGCTTTGCAGTGCCTAGCAAAGCTTAGCAGAGCCTTAGCAAGGCTTTGCAAGACGTGCCAGGTATAAAGGTGCACAAAGATCTGGGCTAGATCCTTGACATTCGTCACGACACCCTCTCTTGGCGTTAGTGGGGCGGCCGCCGATGGTGGATTTTGTTTTCTGTGTGCGGCGGGTGCTAAGTGTATCGTTCGGCTAAAACTGCCCGCCTGGAATATTGAGAAAACTGGGTGCTAAGAATAACCCAGGGGGGTTTCTTAATGCCTTCCTGAGGTTACGACTGCAGCGAGCACCAACAGGCAACGAACTCGCCAGATGCAGCCAGCAGAGGGGGGCCAGGAAAGAAGAAACGCAAGCACCTGCTCATGAAGCAATCTCCCGCCATCTCCACCGCTTTCGCCGCTGCCCTGTGTCTAACCCCCAGCATGGCAATAGCAGAATAACGAACACATGGAATCGCTACAAGAAATATTGCATGCACTGTAAACTCGTCTCGACAAGATGTGGGGATAGTAGAAGAGACATGCAGCCACTACCCAAAAACATATATGCCCATAGTGTCCTGCTTCGATAGCTTCCCTGCATAGCTGGCCGCTGTGAGTCGCAACCTTGGTGGCCGAATACTGCCATACGCTGCATCGGTTTCCTGGTTGTTTCTGCACTGAGCTGCGCCAGTCCAGGGCGCGCTATTCCACGGTTTGCTTAGGGCCTCGAGCTTTGTACAGCCATTCGAGTACGGAGGTTGCTTCCTTCGCCGATCGCAGTCCAGCCTCATCCCTACCGAAAAGCTGCTGAGGCCTGGGCTTGGCTTCCCACTGGACGTCCTTGCCCTCAAAGCCGTCCTTCTCCACCCAGCCAGCAGCTGTCTCGTAGCGTCTCCGCCATACCTCCCGCTCACCTCGGACGAACCCTGACTTCCCACAAACACTTCCCCACCCCCAGAGATGCAAACCTATCTTGGAAGAACCGGTTGATGACCCGCATGTTTCGGAGTACGGGGTACGACCGATAACATGATAGCCAGACATTTGCAAAGGACCAGCGGAAGACCAAATCATAGTGCTAACCACTGTTAGCTCCCGGGCAGGTTCCAGGACTCAGAATCATGGGCGGTGGTATTCCCGTGCAGCAAAGCCCACCCCCTAGAGCACTGCGCAACCGGCAGGAGTCCCGATCCAACTGCCCTGCGCGCTGGAGTGCGACTCCATCCACAGCCTGGAAGACGACAACTGGGTTCCACCTGGAAAGCAATGTTAGCCAGCGTGGCCCCAATAACCGACTTCTTGCAATCTACGCGGTGGAATCTGAGTAGAGTAACTTATTCGTGCCAACTCGTGACGTTATCAACTCCATTGCGCGCGCAAACGCCCCAACTTCCGACCAGCAGCTTGGTCCGCAAAACCAATGTGAAGGCGATTGGAACGACTGCTTGGCCATAGATGGCGCATCTCTGCGGCCGTGCTGGCGCATGCAAACTCGCGCGCAGAGCGGCCAGCTGGTTTGGCACAGCCGATGCGGCCGCGATCGCGCTTGCCGATGGCAGCGCCCCAACGCGTGTCAAAGGCCGCGCTGGTGCGCAATCACTTCAATGACGGGTCGGTGGTTCCGGCGGCTGGTAACGCCGAGGACGATGATGATGGCCAAGTGTCGAGCACAAAGGTGCTTGAGTGATGATGGCGGCAACTGCGCGACTCTGAATGGCGATGACATAGGACGCGGCACTTACGGGGGTAACAATGTGGAAATGCGCGAGCGCGGGAATCCAAGAACACTGGCAAAACTGTTGTTGAGAAGCACTTGCCAATCCTTTCATGCGTTTTGAAGGGCTCTAATTTGCAAGAACTCGGGTACTACTGGGTCGAGGAGGATTTCGACAAGCTCGCCGTGCGGCGTGCGCGTGGCCCACATAGTATTATTGCATACGGAGACGCATACTGTGCGCATGCCGAATCAACGCGGGCGCGCCACGTGGTGAGATGAGATTGCGCGATAGAGCTAACAATGCTAGGTTTGTCTATACTTTGAACACAAGCGCGGGAAGCAAGCTATATGCAGGATCCTGATGTTTCCATGTTGACATCCGTCGGAAACTAGTGTGTCTTGTTTGATTCCAAGATGTGCGCGCGCGTGTGGACTCTGTGGCACGTTTTGCAAGGGATTATTGACAAAGTACCTTCTTCAATCAACGAGTCCTCCCGTATAGTTTTAAGTTGAAAGGGATAAGGGGGTGAGGGTCCCGGAAATATGTACCCTGTGGAATGTACGGATCGAAACGTACATTGAACGAGGAGGCATAATCATGTCTAATTTGCGATGCCCCATAGGGGATGATCATCCGGGGGGGAATCTATGTCCTTCGGAAGCAGAAGAGAATGGAAAAAGAGAATGCATGTGGTGCGATCTAGGTGGTGCAAGCCATGCGGCGCAATTGAAGTGGCGCAGTGCAGTGCACAGCAACGCGAAACAATGCCAAGCGGCGCATATCTAAAGCCACGCGCAGCGGCGCAGAGTCAAGCAATGCAGAGCGAGGCGATTGCAATGAAATTCAATCCGAGTGCAGTCCCACGAAACGCACTGCAAATGCAGCGCGATGGCACTCCAGCGTGACTGCAGTGCATCGGAGGGGGGCGGAGACTGCAACAGGGGCGGCGGCGACGGGCGGGAAGAGGGCCCCCGTTCCTCCCGCGGGCCTTTTCCTGGGAAGCGTGGTGATGGTCCTCAAGGGTCCTCGCCGAGAAAAAATGCACACGTCCGAGCGATGCCAGGGGTGCGGCAACGGAATTGGAACGGGGCCGCAGGGGCCGCACCTGGATGCAGCTCCGGAGACGAGAGAGAAACCAACGTCTTCTGACTCGGCGTTCTGACATTGGGCGGAGGGGGGGGGGGGTCTGGCTCCGGACCTCTGCTCAGCGCGACTCTTTGCAACCGTGCTCCCTGTGGGGGAGACTCCGCCTGCTCGAAAGAAGCGACCAAAGAAGCCAAGATCTACTCCATGGGAGGGGAGGGGGGGTGCGAGGGCGAGCGCCGATCGGCAAAACAATGAACAAGAAAGCGATCACCAAGAACCCATAAGTGCAAGCCCTGTTTGCGGAATCGTGGAACTCCACGTCGCTAGGGCAATCATGCACTCGGCAAGCGAGCCTGCCTGGCTTGACGAGAGAAGTGTAGGTGCAGCAAATTGCTGCACCTACATGGTTTTGACATGCCGTTCACAATGGTTTTAACAATGGTTCCTGACATGCCGTTAAACATTGTTGCACCTACATGGTTTTGACGAGAGAAGTGTGGCTGCAGCAATTGCAGCAATAGTTCTGACATGCCATGAACAAGCCGAGTGTGCTTGGCTTCGCCCGACGCATCCCTTCTAAGCTGTGGTGCTCACGGGTGGCTGCAGGGATTCGCACTTACGCACGCTGCACGACAGAACCGGCCCTGAACGCGTACGCCCACTGCGCCCACCCCATGGCACCAAGCCAACTGCTGCACTCTGACAACACTCCAGGTGCAAAACGGAAGGCTTCAAGCTTCAGAGCTCGCACTCGTACTCGCGGGTCCTCGATACTTGACACCTGGTGCGTGCGTCGAGTCCTCAAACGGCCTATAGCGCCGTCGGCGTGCCACGGGATAATGGCAAATGGCTAAGCAATGTTGCACGGTCCCCATCATGCTCATGTGCTTCCAACGCTGAGGTACACACACACACATGTGAAACCAAAACGCCAGGTGAGAAGCACTGACACCGCACGCGTCAACGGGGGGACACGCCTGCATTAAGCACAGCCTAACTCCTGGCACCGAGAGAAAGCGCATGGAAAAACAAATTGCCCTTGACATTTCTGCACGCCTCTGCACGGCAAGCACGGCGAATGTACATCTCGCGCCACACATGATGTTCGGTTCGGTTGGCATTGCACCACGACCATAACAACATTGTCGCCATGCGCCACGAACATATCTGCTCCCTCTGCAAGGCCTCATGGCTCCTGTGGCTGCGTCGGGGATTTGAACCCCATCGAACTGCGCAGAGGCAACCTCGATGTGCGCACCGCGCCGTGCACCGTACCATCCGCCCACGGCCCGCCTCACCGACATCAAGTGACCGCGGGAAGCCCGGACCACTCTGAGCGTGCCTGCCACATCGTACTGGGCAGTGATGTGCTTGGGAAGTCCGACTGGCTGGCAATCCTCAACGAGCGCCTGCTTCAAAGGGAGGGGCTGCATACGCAATGCCCGCACTCTGATCAGGCGAGTCGCTATCGCCGCCCCATGCTCACCCCAAATAGTAGGAGGCCGCATCAATATGAGACCAGCCGCCGCTGCGTGTGCTGGCTCTGGAGCACCGACAACAGCCTGCAGCGCCGCAAAAGCCCCTGCCGCCTGGCGCAATCAGCTGGCGGCGGGAGAGGTGACACTGGCCACATCCCCACAAACCCTGAAGGCGAACGTTGAGCCTGCAGTATGAAAAACTTGTACACGCCTGGCTACGAGCTGTTCCTTGGGCATCCTGTGTGTGATTGGCGCCAGAGGCCTCGTCGCCCAGTGATGGCTGAGGGTGTACTGCTGCAAGCAAACCCCAACACCCACATAGAACGTACATAAGATGCCACAGGGCTCGAGCTAAACGACATGTTCCGTTTTCGTTTTGTTTTCGGTGTCCCTCGTTCTGTCTTCGTTCCGCCTCGGTGCACAACGATATCAAAACGAAGACGGTCCACGAACTCGCCAAAATACCGTTGAGCTCGAGCCCTGTGATGCCATAGCCTCACCGTACAAAGTTCACTGCTTGCACGATTGATGCCCGAACTCCCCCACCGTGACCTTGCCAACGGACCCCGACACCCTCAAGCCGCAATCCCCAAGGCGGGGAAGGGCGCCCCACTTCCCTGGAGGTCGCCCAGATCGGAGCAGGGCAAACGTGATTCGGGGATGGACAGGCCTCCCTTTAGTAAAACGTGGTTTAATGACAACGACCTGAGGCCCAAACCTGGCGGGCGCAAGCCTGGAAAATAACGGCCACGGCGCCCTCTCGAGAACCGAAAACGGACAATTCACTAATCGACGTGTCACTGTTGGGGGTTCTGCCCACCTCCGAGTGATAACGGTGTCGCGAAGCATATGCGATGCATCGGCGCTGCACCGACCACGTCGGGCTACGGATCGTGCTTCCGCGCGGGTGCATTCCCAGTGCGGCGCGGTCCTCCGACCCCTTCGACTCTGGCCACATTCTGGCGGCCTGGACTCCGACGTCTTTCCGCGCCCTCGTGGCGTCTTCGCGCCCTTCCCCCTCGCGGCGGCGATTCCCCGTCGTCCACGTCGTCGACACCGCCGCCGCCGCCGGCATTTCTTCGTAGCCGCCGCCCTCCTGGCCGTCGTCGACCCTGTCGTCGTCTTTCGACGCCCTCCCGGCGTCGTCGTCCCTTCCCTTGTCGCGGCGGCGGCTCCCCGTCGTCGTCGTCGTCGTCGTCGTCGTCGGCGTCGTCGTCGTCGTCGTCGTCGTCACCGCCGCGGCCGTCCCCGTCGTCGTCGTCGTCGCCGTCGTCGTCTTCGTCGCCGTCGTCGTCGTCGGCGTCGTCGTCGTCACCGCCGCAGCCGCCGTCGTCGTCGTCGTCCTCCTTCTCGCCGTCGTCGTCGTCTAGCGACGCCCTCCTGGCGTCTTCGCGCCCTTCCCCTTCGCGGCGGCTCCCCGTCGTCACCGTCGCCGTCGCTGCCGCCTCCGTAGCCGTCGTCGTCCTCCTGCGCAAGACATTGCGCGCCAGAGATCCTCCGACGAGCAGCTCTACAATAAAGGACGAACGAGTTAGCCGAGCACGAGAGGCAAAACCTCACGAACACGTAGCAACTCGCCCCTTCCCACGTGCGTATATTCTCATTTGTGCAAGCGGTTCCACAATTTAGTGGACCAGGCAGCACGACGAGACTCACACGGCTTCGACATGGAAGATATTCGATCGGAGCAGAGAGCACCGCACGCAGAGCATCCGACGAACGTGGCTTCTCCAGTGAGCTCAAATCGAACGAGTTTGTGAGGCCTAAGGCCAGCGTCTCGAAATCCCCGAGAGAGCGACAAAGCGCGATCGGGGAGAGAGGCTGGCGGGTCCTGCACAAGAGCGAGGCGAGGTTGGGGAGGGCGGCCTCTCCTGACCTGCGACGGGTGGAACGTGTCGTCGCCCTCCCCGACCTTGGAGATCCACCTGCACCAAGCCTTCAGTATCTTGGCTCGGTTGGCGATGGCATCGCGCTGGGCCTCAGGAGTCCTGGACGCCTGAGCTGCCCACTTCGCAAAACGATCGGCAATAACATTGCCAGCATTCTGGCGCTTCGAGGTGCTACCGAGACGGAAGTCCAGGACCCGAGGATGCGCTTGTACCTTCAGCACGCGCTCAGTTAACTCCCCGCCCCTCTCCTCGAGCAACCACCACACCTCTCGCCAAATAACAGCATGAGAGGCCATAGGATGAGTGCACTCACCCTTGCCTCTCTTATAACCACTGTCAGTGCGAAACACGCTCCCAGGCATAGAGTGACGAAGAGCAAAGCACAGAGCAGTGAGTTCAGCTTCATTAGTGGTGGGCAGGTGCTCGATCAAAGGCCCACACACAATGCAACATGGTGTACGAGCAGCCGGATAGAGAGCAACAACAGCCCATCCTGCGGCAGAAAACTGCGGCCAGTCACCTTCGAAGACCGACCTATCGAGAAATATGCCACTAGCTAGCCCCATGGGGGATCCCAGGAACCAAAATTCACGATGCACTCCAGACAGGTCAGGGGGTGCGAGCTCAATCGTGTCCGCTTCGTTTCGGTAAGCGCGAGACGAGTGTCATTTGCAGCTATCCGTAAGCATGGTGGCTTAGGGGCCCCTTGAGCCGCCTTTTGGGCTGTCAGACACATTACTTGCTGGTTCCAGAGAGCCAGCCAGGTTACCGAGATCGAATATCATAATATTCAGACAAAGAGATTTCCCTGGGACAGATTCGAGGGCTGGCTATCTGGAGAACGCCCGGACTGCGTGCAGACCAACGCTTGCGGCGAGGAGAGATATACATCTTTGGCCTCGCGCGTGCTGAGGTAAAAGAGAGCTTGAGATCCACGGACCTAGAGAGAGTTGACGATATTGCATCAACACTTATTCAGAGACACCTATCGGTGATCCTGCATTGGTAGCGGAGCCGGTGGGCTCCAATACCTGGACAGCCGGCAAAGATGGGAGAATCTCGAGACGACGGCAAGAAGGTACCTACGTAGGATGGAGACGTCATCAGATTCCAGGAGAATCGAGAGCGTGTGAAATGGCATGTGGCTGGTCTTTCACATCGAGACAAACAAGTGGCAGGAGCGAGACTGGCGGCAGCTCTCACAGGAGAAGCATGGAAGGCGCTCGAGGAAGTTTCAGGTGAAGGACGAGAGCTGCTGGAGAAGACTGGAGGCCACAAGATATTATTCGAGTTCCTGGACGAGACGCTCATGGACGAACCCATACCGGAGGCCGCGAAATACTTGAAGGAGTATTTGTTCACGCTGCGACGGAGGAATAACGAGGGCATGAAGGCCTACGCTCAGAGGAGCAGGATCGTCGCAGATAAGTTGGACGAGAGCTTCAGGCAAATTGACGAGAAGGACGCTACGACAGAGATCAAGTTAGCCAAGAAGATGCGGCCCGAGGAGAGGACAGAGTCCGTGACGCTGGAGTCCACTCGCGAACGGGAAGACCCTGAAGGCGAAGATGAAGGCGCAGAGGACGACGGCAGCTGGAAGGACGAGAACGACGGCTACTGGAAGGGTAGCTGGTGGTATGGCAGCAGCTGGTGGTCGAGTTCACCGACAGGGTCAGCTGGCTGGACCTGCCCACAGGCGACGACATCGCTGAAGGCACAAGAAGGTGACGCTGAAGGAGAAGGCTACGGATGCGCTGTGCTCACTGATGGCACGTTTCGACCTGGAGGATGACAATGCCGACATCAAGGCGCTGAAGGAGGTGGCGACAGAGGCGCGCGAGACGCTGATCCCGTCGGCGATGGCGGGCTGGCTGCTACTACAACGAGCCGGACTTAATGCTCAAGAGCGCGCGGGAGTCCTGTCGTCGGCCAAGAACTCGCTGAATCTGAAGAACATCGAGGCAGCGCTGCGGGACCAGCGGGCAGACGTGGACCTGAAGGAGCACGACGCGCACAACAAGAAGAGAGACAGATTCCCGCACAAACCTGGCCGTGGACGAGCACTCGGAGTTTTTGGAGAAGATGAGGATGATCAAGAGGAGGCCCCAGACGACTACGACCCGGAAGGCGACTACGAAGCCTACGCGGAGTTCGGCTGGGACGAGGACGAACTTGACCTCGAAGGTCTGGACGAGGAGGAACGCGCGGAGGCAGAGGAGGCACTGGCGGTCATCGCCGGAGCCAAGAAGGGCGTCAAGAACCAGAAGAGGACGCTGGCACAAGCGCGGGCCGCGGTGAAGGATATCAAGCAAAGCCGAGGGTTCTTCCAGAAAGGGCAAGGGCAAGGGCAAGAAAGGCGGCAAGGGCCAAGGAGGGCCGTGCTTCATCTGCAGTGGACCGCGCAGGAAGGCCGACTGCCCGAAGAATCCGGAGAATCGAAACAAGGAGCAGCCACGCGGACGAGCATCTCAGGTTGGAGCGTTGGCGTTCAGCTTCGCGAACTGGGAGGCCAACGACGACCTGGAGATGGCCTACACGGAGTTCGAGGTGGAGCACGCGCTGGCCGGCCTCGCGGACGAGACGGAGGGGCGCATGGTGCTCGACAGCGGAGCGACGAAGACGTTCGGGTCGATCGTGGCGCTCGAGAAGATCATCGAGAAGCAGCAGCAGCAGGCAGGAATCGACACGAGCAACGTGGCGGTCGACGTGACAGATCGACCGAAGTTCGGGTTCGCTAACGGCGACGCGGAGAAGTGTTCGTGCCGGACGAAACTCCCGCTGCAGGCGAACGGCAATCTAGGTAGCGTGTCGGGCTACGCGCTGAACACCAAGGGGGGCCGCTACGTGCCGTTGCTGGGGTCAGTGGACTTCCTGAAGCGTACTGGAGCGATCATCGACTTCGAGACGGGGATCGCCTGCTTCAACAATATCACGAAGAACAAGGTGGCGAAGCTCAAGCGGATCTCGACGGGACACCTGTGCATCGACATGACGAAGGACCTCTACGACGCGATGGTGAACTACACTGACAGGGAGGACTTCAAGCAGAAGCTCGAATACTTACAGCAGGCTCTCGGCGCTGCGAGGGTCGCGGCGGCCGATCCAGCCGGGAGCCCTGAATAGGGGCAGCGCCCCTCCTTCAGCGGTGCTGGCTTCAGGAAAACAAAGCCAGCATCACGTCACTGGATTGGGGGATCTACCAGGACAGTGAGAGCAGGAGGGGGCCGAGAGCAAGATGGTGCCGTTTGAGACTTCCGAGGATGTGACTTTCATTACATAAACCACTGAGGATTTCGTTGGCACGGGCTTGGGAATAACACCGACGAATTCCGAGCGGGAGCGGGTTTCGAGTACATGTGCGAGTCCGACGCGAACGACAGCTCGATCAAGGACTGCGAGTACTTCGACCCGATTTCGGAGAGTTTCGGCGATGCAGACCACACCGACACGATCTAAGTACGTGGCTACCGACACGTGTGAGACGTCTTTCAGGGGATCTCAGAGGCCTGAGAGCGTTTGGAATGGGTTCGAGAAGACTCCAAAGCCCCCAGGGATGAGAGTAACAGATGTCCTACACGAGAAATGCAAAGTACCTCAGATAATCATGAATGATGGTGGCGGTGATGCTGATTGCGATCCGCAACGTGGTGGCTCAAGATTCAGGTTTCAGTGGATCAACGCCAAACGGGCCAAGGCCATCAGGGACGATGCCCGGGGCGGCAGCGGCCTCTTCAACGCCCGCAGCCGACGTCCCGATCGACAGCAACAAGCACCGCAACATCAGGAAGGACCAAGGCCTCGACGGTGGTTCAGGACATCGGAGGGGCAGTGGAGACCGACAGCGACGACAGACCGATCCAGAGCGATGGGGCAAGCGGACCATCGGCGAATGGATGACACTGGATCGTCGGGACCTACGACTGGACCGGGACAGAGCGGAAGCTGCCAACGAGAAAGACGATCGATACACGGGCAAGCCCTGCTACGGCGATCACGACACGGCGCGCCCGCTGGCGAGGCGCGCCAACGGTTTCAAGGTGAGCTACAAGTGCGTGAGATGCGAGCTGGTCATGCTGTACATCCCGAAGCACGGGGCGACGGGCAGGTGCAGGCAGAAGGGAGCTCTGGGACCGACTGTGGGAAAGATCAAGACCGAAGAAGTGACGAAGGAGAAGGTCACCAAGGAGAAGGCGACGCCGGAGAGAGAGAGTCGGACCAAGATCGAGGAGGTGTCTTCGGAGGACTCATTCGAGAAGGCCGGAGAATCAGAGGAGGAGGAGACGCCGTACCCGAGCACCGATCAGATGAGCAAGGCCGACATGATGTTCGACCAGATGCGCGACAGCACAAAGCGGAGGACGGACCCACCGACGCGCAGGAAGAAGAAGGAGTCTCCCCAGGCTGGGGAGCCCGTGGGTCCCTGAGATCCGACACAGAAGTCCCCTCAGGGGACGACGACGTCATCACGTTCGGGATCGACGTCGAGTACCACAGGGAGGAGATTAACCTGAAGGACTACAGCTGGGTGCTAGAGCAGGTGACAGAAGCTGGTATGGCGACAGTCCTCTACGTGACGAAGCTGATTGAGTTCTGCACGGAGGAGGACAGCCAGCTCGGGAAGGTCGCGGAGGAACGCGAGGACGCCGAGATCATCAGGATCACCCGGAAGGGCGCGGATCTCAGCACGAAGCACGGACTGGGATTGGCCAAGAACCTGGCGGTGAAAAGCCCTGGAGCAGACATCTGGGGAAGCCTACCGTGCACAGCCGTCAGCGCGCTTCACAACGGTTACATGGGCAGACAGGATGGCCAGTACTGGAAGAAGCTCGAAGCACGCAAGGAGAACCTCAAGAAGATTGTGAATCACTTCATGGAAGTGAGCAGGATTGTCAAGGACAATGGTGGGGACGTACACTTCGAGTGGCCACGTAACTGCCATGGCGGGAAGTACTTCCCGGAGCTGACAGAGTTCTTTCGTGAGCTGGGCATGGAGAAGGTGAACTTCGACGGGTGCCAGGTCGGGGTGGTCAACGCCAAGGGCGAGCCGATATACAAACCGTGGGCGCTGTAGACCAGCAGGAAGAAGCTCGCGACGGCCCTGCGTGGCAAACGCTGCCCAGATCCCCAAGGACACGGACATGCAGAATGCTGTGGGAAGGATGCTACATTATCGGGCAAATACCCCTCACGAATGGCAAGGATCATCTGGCGGAACATCGTGGAACCGCCGAAGCTGATGGGCCTGATCGAGGAGCTGAAGCAGGAGGAAGCCCTGGCGAACGACAACAAGGATATGTTCGACAATGAGAGGGAGCTAGAGCTGACAAGCGACGAGCAACAACAATGGAACGACTTGCCGGCGCTGAAGCAAAATGAGTTAATGAAAGCAGCGACGCGGCTGCATTGGAATACTGGACATCGACCACAGAGGGTGATGATCAGGATCCTGCGAAGACGTGGGGCTTCAGCGACGACAGCCGCAGCCGTGAAGCAGATCAAGTGCAGCTCGTGCATTGAGAATCAGATACCAAGACCGAGACCAGCAGCTGTACTCGAGCCAGCTCGAGATCTATGGCAGGTGGCCGGCATCGACGCGAAGGAGATCGTGGGCAACGACCAGATCAAGAGGAAGTACCTTGTAATCGTGGACGAGGCGAGTAAGCTGACGCTGGCGGTCAAGATCTTCTCAATACCCGCTCAGGAGTCGAGGAACTGCACCGCCAAGGAGCTGCTGGATGCGTTCAGAGGACATTGGTCAGATCGGCATGGCATGCCGAGCGTACTGAGGCTCGATCCGGAAGGAGCAGTCGTGTCACACGAGTTCTACGACAGTATTGCAGGTGAAGGAGTGCAGGTGGATCCGTGTGCCACCCAGGCTCACTGGCAGAACGGCATCGCGGAGCGTGCAATCAAGACGGTGTTTGAGTGCGCCAAGGCCATGCATCGTGACCACGAGACCGACCTGGAGGCAGCTGTACATGCGGCGGTGGAGGCACACAACACGGTTGAGAGGGTCGACGGCTACAGTCCGAGCCAATGGGCCTTCGGACGAGACAAGAACTGGTCAGGGACTCTCAAGAAGGAGGACCACCTGGACGTCGTGAAGTGCACGAACCAGAGCTACATGGAGAACCTGTCCAAACGGGTGCTGGCATCAAAGATCATTGGCGAGCGGGTTCTCAACCAGCAGCAGACGAGAGCAGCAGCAGCACGATATCAACGACCACAACACCTGTATCCTGGGATGCTGGTATGCGCATGGAGATGTGGCAAGCAGGCTAAACAACCAGCACCAGCAGGACCACGACATCATGGGATTGACAAGGGCAGATGGTTTGGACCAGGCACTATTCTCGGGGTGCAGACGACGAAGACAAGCGACGGGACGCCCGTTCAATCCAGAAAGGTATGGGTCGTGATGGGGTCGAGGCTGTGGAGGTGCGCACCCGAACAATTACGAGCGGCAAGTCCAAGAGAAGAAGAGATGTTCTTCGAGGAAAAGCACACACCCTGGACATTCGTGGAAGGACTGGAGAGTCTCAACAAGGGGGAGGTGATTTCCGTGGAGAAAGAGGACGCGCCGATGAACGAGGAGACCTACACACCGGAGACCACAGCTCGTGCACCAGAAGATGGAGACAAGGAGGACCGCTGGGAACAAGGTGAGTTCGAAGGAAGACCTGAACATATCAGAGTACATTTAAGACCAAGGGTGGCGCTGTTTACGCCAAGAGGCTTCAGATCCAAACCGGAGAAGACGACCATGGAGATGATCACCGTGATCAGGTATGAGGACGGATACGAGGAGACGGCCAAGGACGACAACTGGAACGTGCATGGGAAGTCTACGAGGTCAATGGGACGACGCTGGACTGGCAGGACCTTCCTGTTTCCCATCACGGAAAAGCCAGAGGAGATGAGGGTAGACCAGAACGCCAAGGAGGTGATCCATGAGAAGGCGAAGAAGATGGTCGTGGAGCAGGCACCGGAGACCCATGGGGACAATGAGAAAGACCAGCCGTCGATGGATAACATCGAGAGCGAGAAGGTAAATAACACGAAACAGACAACTGCAGGATCGTCGAGAAGAGAAAAGTCAAGACCGACCTGTTCGAAAAGACGAAAAGGAGGGTCAGGGTGCGGACCAACTTCGGACCATCACTGAGGAGCTGCAGTGCCTTCTTCAATGACAAGATCGCGGACGGTGACCAGGTGGGCTGGGACAAGCTTGACTGGGAGAACTTCGACGTGGCGGCATGGGCTGCGACGGAGATCCAGGAGGACCTGGAGATTCCGATGGGAATCGACTACATCGAGGTAGCGTTCGAGGCGTTCGACGCGAACAGCATGAACAAGTTCACGAGGCAGCCGGAGCAGCATATCACCAAGGCGATGAAGAAAGAAAGGTCTGAGGCAAGCGTCAAGCACATAACCGGCGAGCAGAAGAGTCTGATGAAGGGGGCGAAGCTGGCCGAGGTGAGAGACTGGATCGCCAACGACGTGTTGGAGAAGCTACCACCGCACATCAAGCCGAAGTCGTCTGACGTCCTGAAGACGCGCTGGGTACTCACCTGGAAGAAGGGCGAAGCGACAGGAGGCAGCCGAGCAAAGGCGAGACTGGTAGTGCTGGGATATCAAGATCCTAGGCTAGGAGAAGAACCAGTGGCATCGCCGACTATGACCAGGAGAGCTCGGAACATGATCTTCCAGCTGACGGCCATGAAGAAGTGGAAGCTGAAGAAGGGCGACGTCAAGGCCGCTTTCCTGCAAGGCAAAGGGATGCCAGACGACAAGCCGACCTACATCGAGGCCAACGATGAGCTGGCGGAGGAGTTCGGAGTACCTGGAGGGACGGCAGTGATACTAAAGAAGGCAGTGTCGGACTATGTCAAGCACCAAAGTCATGGTACGAGAGCGTGGACACCCTGATGGAGCAGCTCGGTGGACAACGATGCGTGTCGGACCCGTGCGTCTGGGTTTTCAGCGGCGAGAACAACAACGTGTTCGGGGTAGTTGGCACACGCGTGGGCGACCTGATCGCCGGAGATGGTGGAGTTCGATGACGAGATATCGAGGTGAAGCTGCAGAAGGCGTTCCGCTGGACTCCATGGGAGGAAGGAAGCTTCAAGCAGACCGGACTATCGGTCATGCAGACGGCCAGCAGCGAGATCACCATGCACCAGAAGGAGTTCATCGACAACATCACCGAGATCAACATCGGACAGGAGCGTCGCAGACAACGGGACCAGAAGCTGACGGATAAGGAGATGACGATGCTTCGGGGGGCACTGGGCGAGATCCAGTGGGTGGCGACGCAGACGATGCCGAAATACCAGGCGCAGTGCTCAATATACCAGAGCAGTGGACCGACGGCGACAGTGGAGACGCTCTTCGGGATCAACAAGCTGATCAGACAGATGAAGAACGACCACGGCTACAAGCTGAAGTTCGAGAGCTTCGAGGGAGAAGGAGTGATCGTACGCTGGAGTGATGCAGCCTGGGCGAATCGACCAGACGGGCTCCCGACAGGAGGATATGTGATCGGGATTGGGCCAGCGGACATCCTGAACGGCAAGCGGGCCCCAGTTGGCTGGGTTTCACATCGCAGTGGTAAGCTACAGCGCGTGGCCAGGAGTTCGTTGGCGGCCGAGGTTCAGGCGCTGACAGTGACAGAGGCCGAGCTTTTCATGGTGAGAATGATGTGGGCCGAGCTGAATGGTTTTGCATCGGACGTGGCCGTGGGAACCGCGAGCGAGAGCAAGACGACTAAGCCGATGCTGGAGGGCGTGAAGCAGGTGCGATCGTGCCTGTGCGTGGACGCTAAGAGCATCTACGACTGTCTGGCCAAGCAGGTGCAGACGCAGAGCCTGGCTGAGAAGCGGACGGCGCTCGAGCTGATGGCCTTCGAGAAGTGCATCAACGAGACAAAGTTGATCGTGCGGTGGTGCCACTCCGAGGCCAACCTGGCCGACAGCTTGGCAAAGACGACAGCTACGGGGCCCATCGACCTGTACATGAAGACGTGGAGCTGGGCACTGGTAGACGACGACGAGCAGCTCAGTGCCAAGAAGCGTAAGGAGCGCGGGATGAGCAGGTTCGAGAACAACAAGGATATCTCTGGCCTCATCAAGATGGCATTCATGAAGATGGGAGTGTCGCTACCAGATGCAGCAGACGGGGATGACAATGATGATGATAACCTGATAGCGAGTGAACCTACATCCTATGGCTGACGCCGGCGTGCTGCAGTTGCCTGTGTTATTGCCTGTTTACTGCGTGTTTGATTTTCTGAGACGCACCAGAGTGGGCGCGGACGTTTCGAGGCTCTAAGCCGTTTCAATTGAGTAGCTGCAACAAAGATTTCTGGGGATGCGCACTCAATCGCGTCCGTTTCGTTTCGGTAAGTGTGAGACGAGTGTCATTTGCAGATATCCGTAATCATGGTGGCTTAGGGGCCCCTTGAGCCGCCTTTTGGGCGGTCAGACACATTACTTGCTGGTTCCAGAGAGCCAGCCAGGTTACCGAGATCGAATATCATAATATTCAGACAAAGAGATTTCCCTGGGACAGATTCGAGGGCTGGCTATCTGGAGAACACCCGGACTGCGTGCAGACCAACGCTTGCGGCGAGGAGAGATATACATATTTGGCCTCGCGCGTGCTGAGGTAAAAGAGAGCTTGAGATCCACGGACCTAGAGAGAGTTGACGATATTGCATCAACACTTATTCAGAGAACCAATCGGTGATCCTGCAGGGGGGGGGGCCTCAGGCAGAGGCACGAGAGAACGCTCAACCAAGGCCAGAGCAAGAGGAGAGCTCACGGCGGCGGCACTGAGCCCCTGGACGAACGAAGGTGGTTCCTCTCCAACCTGTTGGGTGCATTCACAAAAAAGTGCGCCTGTGAAGCAGAGTGCCGCTAATCTCTTCCTCACGCGCATCTTTACAAACACGGCAGTCGGATTCCGCATCGTAACCACTATGCCATTGCCTGTGCATGGGCCACTGGCCCCCAGAGAAACAAGAACGCAGATGGGCCCTCTGCTCGGGGGCGGCTTTAGATTTGAAAAACTTGGCAATGGGCTGCACGAAAAATCAGCTGGCGAACCCAGGGAGGTTTCAATGCTCAGCCACTTGCTTACACTGCAATAGATAACACGCGTGCATGGCCAGTCTCTCTACAACAGACACACACACACACCTGAGAGGGGTCAGTGACAGCATTCCATGGGGAAGTCCACTCAGACATAGAGCGCACCTGAACATCGACTCGCTTAAGTGTAGCAACAGCAGCCGAGAAGGGGCCCCGAATGGACGACCGAGGAGATGCAATGCCTCGGAAGTGGCCAACAGCAGCAAGGATGCCCGCTTCAATGGATCGTTTCGGGAACCACTCTTCCCAGAAAGCTTGCAACAAAAAAGCTTGACTGGGAGCCGCGTGGCCCTGAAAATCGGATCTAAGTTGCGCGACGGGGCAATCGTGAGAGCAAGAGTCCTGGACCGCCCGTCAGGATGATGATCTTGAAGCTTGCCAGCCAGAGAGCGTGACTGATTTAGCTCACCGTTGTTGAGACCAAGAACTGACGTACCGTAAGTGACTGCACCTTCAGGCTCAGCTCTGGACATGGTGCCAAGCGTCTTGCGCCTGGGCCGACCACACTTCAATGTAGACATCCGAGCACGCCCGGCAGTAACTGTAGCCACGCGCTGCTTCACAACAGGTTTGCCACGAACGCGGCCCGCCGCAAAATCCACTCAAAGATTTCTCTCGGTGTTGGCGGCGGCTGCGCCCATGGACTTGAACTTGGTGGCCAAGGCTCTGCGCGCGACGACAGTGTTGGACAGAGCACGACTTTTGTCAACCGCCACCTTCATCTCGATCTAAGTGAGCAGCTTCAGCAGCAACTTAGAAGCTCCACTGAGATCTCGCGCCACACGTGACGGCGCACCCAGCCGCTGCAGCCCGAAGTCATCAGTGTTGATGCTGAGCATGACGCACCTGAAAGAGTTCTGCACCTGACGCAACGGCCCCAGTAGCAACAGCTGCAACATCACTGTGGCGAAATGGCAGCCTGGTGCGATGGTCTGCTCAACATGGATGACATCGCCGGCCGCGCCCTGCATGTCCAACTCGCGAGGCATCCGATACATAGAAACCAAAAGCTTCAGCATCCATAGCGGAAGATCGCTCTCGATGGCAGCCTGAATCAAGTGAGGATGTTTGACAAACTCAAACGCCTTCTTGAGATTGAGCAAAATTGTTGCGGTTAACATGCCTCGGACCGTAGACTACTCAGACCAAGCGCTGGATATCCAGACACATTTCTCCGAGGAGCGCCCCTTGACCGACCGCAGACAACTCTGGACATTCTTCTTCTGCCAGACGTGAACCAAGGGCCCTCGGAGCCTGCGTTGAATCCTACAGAACACATGAAGGAGCCCAAGAGGCCGAACCCCACCAAGACGCTTCAGGAAAAAGACATCCCGAATCCAGGAACGAGGCCATTCTAAGTTGCTTTCGATAGACCCAATAATACCGCATAAGATTTGCAGAGCTTCATCTGGTAGCAATGAGAAATGTCTAGGAGCCACTTGATCGAACCCTGTCCCCGTAGAGGCCTTAAAAGTTTTCAGCGCCACCTTCAACTGTTCCACCGTAGGGGGTGGGGAGGTTCTCCGAGGGACAAAGGCCAGACAAGTTCGGGATGGGCAGCAGGCACTGGCCACCAACCTTCCCATTCGCGTTGCAGAGCCTGCATCTCCTCGCGGGAGGTAGCAGGCCTGCGGGCACTGCGCTCGATGCAAGAAGGTTGCCAAACAGTTGGGAGCGACGAGTGCGAATACAACGCTGAAGCACCATTCTCTGAATGATTGTCCACCCAATGCTTCCATTCAATCTCTTTTTGCTTGAGGGCCCTCTTGGCTTCGGCATCGGCCGCAGCACGAGCCCAATGTAGAAGCATATCCACCACTGGAGCAGGAAGAAAGACGTGTTTTCACGAGACAACTGGAACAAGCCTAATACAGATTAGCACCAGGAAGAAAATGAGTGCGAGCAAGAGAATCCAGGCGATAAACAGCTTCGCTCCATACCTTAAACGAACGCAGCCCCAGGAGGCCCCCAGGAGAAGCTGGAACCTTTTTCCACCAAGCTCCAACTTGAGAGACTCGTGGGAAACTTGGCGGCCTTGGGCGCCGCAGGATCTTGTCGGTGATCCTGAGGTCCTCTGAGCGCCCAAAATACTTCTGAGAGTCCTCTGGAAGAACCTGAAAAGTCTTGAGCCACTCGTCTTCACATGCTTTGACAAAAAGCTTCCAGCTAGCATCGGCGGTGTGGCACTCGTCAACCTGCATGCTGAGAAGATTCCACCGATCTACATCAGGCGGAAGCACACAGCCAAGAGGCACAGCAACAAGAAACCGCCGAGGAACCTGTACCACTTGGACGGTAGCGTCTGCTGGCAGTGCCCTGAGTCGTAATTCAACTGGGTAATGCGGCGCAGTGGCAATGTCCGTGCGGACAGCCGCGACACCCTCTCGAGAAAGCGAAAAACTGACCACAAACTAGTCTATGGTGTTGTTCGCTGGTCGACACGTGCCACGATCTGGACAACAAAAACACGAGCGCCGATAGCAGCAGGCCATCCACTATATACTAACTGAGCGGGTTCGATCTGCCAATCTGCGGCTACGACGACAGGGGGCCCCACCTGCTTCGGGAAACTTCCGACCTTGGACAGAATGCCCCAATTCAGAGCCCCAGGTCCCGGAGAGCGCTCCAAGTATATGTTGACAAAAACGAAACCTCCACGACCACATCCTCCAACATGGTGAGCAATGGCCCTGCCAGGCCATAAAACCGCGTTGAAGCCCTGTACGCCCGAGAGGCCGCTGTGCATGGGTACCAACGTAGCGAGCCCACCTGAGAGGCCCCCAGTGCTTTTTGGAGCCCCAGGAGACTGACTGGCAGAGTGCCAAGACTTGCGAAGTTGAGCTTCATGAGAATCGCACTGCGAGCGAGCTAGGTGTGTCTCTTGCACCCCGATGCAACCAAAGCGCGCCTCACACTCCTGCGCCCGCTCGAAGCTGGACCCGGTAGTAATGTTGGCGGTGGGGAAGACCCACGCCTTTTTCTTCTTCACCTCAGGAATGTTAAAGATCTGACTTCTGTTTTTTCATTGGTAGACCAACTGAACTGCTCTGTTCTGGACCTCTTGATGGAGTCGGCCACGGACCCAACCAACCGCCGACACTGCTCAAGAGAAAGGCCCAGGTGCTGATTCTGCTCCATGAAATGCTGCAAGTTCTCGTCGGAGGCGTGCTGTTTGGCTTAGAGCTCCGCTGTCTGGTGCGCCACGTCATCTGCTTCGGCGAAGAAGTCGTCCTGCTCGTCCTCGTCCATGTCGGAGTTGGAGGGCACGGACTCAACCGCCTTGCCCACAGCAGGAGCCAATGGCGGCAGCCGAACAGACGCACCAGGAGGACCACCGAGAGGCTGAGCAGAGCCAGGCGCATCCTTTGAATCTGCAGATGCACCAGCCGCAGCAGGTGGCCGATCCTGATGCCTCGCACGATCGCGCGCATTGACCAGATCACGGAACTGCGTGCGAAGGACGAGTCGAGCCCAGAGAAAATGCGCACGATTGCTTCCTCAGCGCTCTTGACGTCCACGGGCGCATCTCCTGCCAAACTTGTCCAAGCCTGCGCAGAACGTTGCGCACACTGCTTTTCATCCTGCTCGAGCTGCTTGACCCCAGCACGCAACTGGACCACGCGCTGGAAATTGTAGGGCAGCTGCTTCTCGGCCTTGGCGAGCTTCGCCTCGGCAGACACGAGCTTGCCTCGCACATCGTTATGCTGCTGCTGAGCTTGGCGAGAGACGGCACTTGGATCACCACTGCGAACTGCCCGAAGCTTGGCCAGTTCACGCTTTTGTGGAACCGGCGTGAAGATGGCAGCTGCATCAAACTGCTCATCGTCGATGTCCACGAGTTTCTGCATCTGATCAGAAGTGCACTGGGGAGTGGGCGCAGCGTTCCAGTTCCACGTGCCTGGCGGTGCCTTGTACCACTTACCTCCCCAATTCTTCCAAACGCCACCGTTGCCATTATCATCGCCGTCGTGAGCCCAAGTAGCATATGCATGATGCTGACCAGAGCTGCTGTTAGTGAGCCCATGCCCACAGTGCTTACAAAATGTATATCAGCTCGGATTTTGCGGCAGCCGCAAGTCTCACAGACAGGCATGAGTGAAAGATGTCCGCAACGCTTTGACGCAAAGGTAGCTCTGAAAGGAGAGCTGCCCACTCAAGTGTGCAGTACACGGGTGTGTCCTATAACTTGAGCCAAAATGGCAACGGACCCGTCGTCGTCCTCCTCCTCCTCCTTCTCCTCCTCCCCCTTCTCCCCCTTCTCCTCCCTTCCCCTCCCCCTCCTCCTCTGTCCTCCTCCTCCTCCTCCTCCTCCTCCTCCTCCTCCTCCTCCTCCTCCTCCTCCTCCTCCTCCTCCTCCTCCTCCTCCTCCTCCTCCTCTCCGTCGCCGTCGCCGTCGGCGCCGTCGGCGCTGTCGTCCTCCTCCTCCCCCAGCTCTCCGCCGTCGCCGTCGTCTCACGACGCCCCCCGGCGCCTTCGCGGCCTCCCTCCCCGCGACGCCTCCCGCTGCCGCGAGAGAGAGGCGTCGAGGCGGCGGAAAGCTTAAGTCGGACGTGTCCCCCATACAGGGTGATTTCGGGCGAAAAATAAGAAAATAGTCAAAAAATACGCCCCACATGCTGAAAAGTGAGGGACGTGCCCGACTGAACGGAAGGCGTGCCCGCTCGCAGGGCGCAGGCAGCGGAGCGCGGCGGCACGACCGCGCCCTCCCCGCGTGCGGCGCGGTTCCAGCGTGGGGCGCAGCCGCCAGCGAGCATCCCGAGGCATTCGGGGGGGGATCCGTCGACCCCCCAATCGCACAGTGTTCGTCTGCACGTAAGAGTGACCCTGGGTCAGAGTGACCTCTGGTGCGCGGCTTTCTGAGAGGGGCGCGAGGGAGCCAAACCCAAGGGCGCGGGCCGCATACATCGCATCGCGCTCGGCGATCGGGGGGAGCCCGATGAGCCCGCACCAAAGGTCACTCCGGCGAAAAGTCACTCTTACGTGTAGTCGAACATTGTAGGGAACCGAACTCTATACACCATCGCCTTTTCCGGCCCTGCGCTGAAACTCTCACGAGAGAGCGGATCCTTGTGTACATGGGGCCCTGGCGTATAGATGTTCCGTGGCTTCCCTGGGGAAGCGGAGAAGCAGCATACACCACACCACCCCGCCGACGTCGCCCCGGACCCTCCCGAAGTTCTGGGATTGAGAAACAGCCCGCCACTAGCAGTGCATATGATCCAGTTTCCGACATTGATCGCCGACAGGGGCCGGATAGCCTCGGCCCGCCCAGTCGCGTGCGGCTTCGCTATGGGGGGCCATCGCCGACCTGCTGGCGACGCATCGCCGATGCCAGGTCGACGTGTCCCTCCTGTGCCAGTCCCCTGGAGGCTTCGGGGTCATAGCTCGGCCCTCCGGCGACCGTCCGGGACAAGCCGGGGCAGCCCCCGAACGCCCTCGGCGAGGCGCAGCGGCTGGAGGGCATGTCGACGGGGGCGCCGACAAGCGAATTGGCCAGCGTACAAGGGGGGGACACACCCCCACACACACACACACACACACACACACACCCGCACGCACACCGCACACACACAGACACACACACACACTCACACACACACACGCACGCACGCACGCACGCACACACACACACACACACACACGCACACACACATACACACACACACACACACACACGCACACACACACACACACACACGCACACACGCACACACGCACACACACACACACTGTTTGTCGTCGCGGCCAGGCGCGCAACGGCGCGGCGTAGCAAGGTCGGGCGCAGAGATGCTCGCGGCCGGCCAAGATAGTCACACACACACAGACACACACAAACACACTATTGGGCTAAGACGCGGCCCGAGGCGCATCGAGTGCGGCGCAGAGGTGCACAGTAGACACATGCGATCAGAGATCTTGCTGCAAAAACTCGCACGTTCTTCTAATATTTCATGGCCCAGAGGTGTCCCAGAACTTCTCTGTGGCCCCCCCAAAGTGATCGGGGCATAAGGAGCTTCCGGGGCGCACCTGCTGGCAGGCCAGGTGTCTAACTTGACGTGCCTACTGCAGCCTGGTGTAGCGATCGGCCCCCGCAGGGGCAGCCCCTCTGGGGCTACTGAAACTCAAGTCTCAGCCTACCCAGTGCTGCACCTGCCCGGCCATGCAGAAAGCGTGCGCCGGATGCAAGATGATGATTCAGCAATCACCCGGGGTCGTGTTCACGCGGCGGCCGGCGCCCAGGAAGATGACTAGAAAAACCGGCCCCGGGCCGAAAACTACCTGTTGTATCGTTTCCCCCCCCCCCCCCTCGGGCCGAGGAGCCGAAGCGCCTGGACAGCCGACGGACGAGACGGAGCCGAAGCGCAGCGGAAGTCGAAGATTCGGAAAACAAATATTTGTATCGTCCCCCCCCCACACACATTCTTTTAGCGACTGTCACCTGACATGACTTAAGCATCATCCCAGTCGCAGCTGGCGTGGGACTCTGCATCCCCGCCTTTGGGGGCGCAAAGGGGGGAAGCCCAGAGCGCGCGCGGAGGTGCGGACTCGGACTTCCTCCTCGGGGGCTCGAGCTCGAGGCTCGAGGGATCGGGGGGTCGACGGGCCCCAAGGCTCTAGGATCCAGGGCTCCAGGGCTCAGGGGATCGAAGGCTCGAGGGTTCGAGGATGGAAGGTTCGAGGGTTTGAGGAATCGAGTGGTCGAAGAGCGAGGGTCCCGGGGTCCGAGGATCGAGGGGTCGACGGAACAAGGGTTGAAGAAATCAAGCGATCGAGGAGCGAGGGTCCCATGGTTCGAAGATCGACGGGTCCAGGATTCGAGGACCAAGGGACACGGGATCCGAGGATCGCGGGATCGAGGATCGAGGGATCGAACGATCGAGGATCGAGCCCTCGAGCCCTCGAGGGCTCGAGGGCTCGAGGCCGAGCGCCCTGGCGGCTGAGGCGGGCCTCGCCGCCCCGAGGAGCCGCATGGGGGCGACTGGGCCCTGGGGCCAGGCGGTGGCGGCGACTCCGCGCCGCCGCCGGCGCCGTCGTCGTCGTCGTCGTCGTCGTCGTCGTCGTCGTCGTCGTCGTCGCCGTCAACGTCGCCGTCGCCGTCGTCGTCGTGGTCGTCGTCGTCGCCGTCGTC